TTCCAAACCCCTGAGAAAATTAGGTATGCCTTAGCGAGACCTTTTGTGTGAATACGTGTATAGTTTACTATGAAGCTGCAGGAGATTATATAACACACTCGTTTGCTGCGCCTCCTTTTGGGTCTCGGCCTGTTGTGTATAAAGGGAGGCGGTGGCGGCTGCGGTGGCAAACTTCTCTCTCCAGGAATGTAGAAAAACCAGGTTTTCCACCTGGAACATGAAGAACTTCCTTTTTTTGTCATGGTGGGTAAAACACCAAAGTTTCCCATAACAGAGTGGCATCTCAAACTGGTTTAGGTCCGTTTGCACTGGTTTAACCAGTTTTGGTTAGAGATCCAGAGCGGTAGCTTTAGTTTTAGTAGCTTTCCACAACCTTCTGTCGGTGTTGGATTTCAAGCCCTGCCAACCAGTAAGGCCAGTGCATTATATCCCACCTTTCTCCCCATGGGGACTCTAGTCGATTAACATCTATCCACACTAAACAGGTGTTTTGGACTTCAACTCCCAGAATTCCTAACAGCCTCAGACCCTTCCCAAAAATAATGTAAAAACTCAAAAGAATAATAAAAGATATTATCTGAAATAATCACAAAAATAATCGAAAAAAGTCGAAATAATAATAAAAATATTCCCCAAAATAATGTAAAAAATCAAAATAATAATTTCTCCGTAATAAGGCCAATAATAATGTAAAAAATAAAAAATAATAATAAATGCTCCCTGAAATAATAGACAAAATAATGTAAAAAATAAAAATATTCTGAAATAATAACAAAAATAATCTAAAAAAGTCGAAATAATAATAAAAATATTCCCCAGAATAATGTAAAAAATCAAAATAATAATAGAATATTTCTCCATAATAATGCCAATGGAGCCCCCGGTGGCGCAGTGGGTTAAAGCACTGAGCTGCTGAGCTTGTTGATCGAAAGGTCGCAGGTTCGATTCCGGGGAGCGGCGTGAGCTTCCGCTGTCAGCCCTAGCTTCTGCCAACCTAGCAGTTCGAAAACATGCAAATGTGAGTAGATCAATAGGTACCGCTCCGGTGGGAAGGTAACGGCGCTCCATGCAGTCATGCCGGCCACATGACCTTGGAGGTGTCTACGGACAACGCTGGCTCTTCGGCTTAGAAATGGAGATGAGCACCACACCCCAGAGTCAGACATGACTGGACTTAATGTCAGGGGACTACCTTTACCTTTTTAATAATGCCAATAATAATGTAAAAAATGAAAGTAATAATAATAAATAATACCAGAAATAATAGACAAAAATAATGTAAAAAATAAAAAAAATCTCTGAAATAATCTCAAAATAATTGAAAAAAGTCAAAATAATAATAAAAATATTCCCCAGAATAATGTAAAAAATCAAAATAATAATAGAAATTTGCTCCATAATAATGCCAATAATAATGTAAAAAATCAAAATAATAATAAATATTACCTGAAATAATAGACAAAAATAATGTAAAAAATCAAAATAATAATAAATTTACTCTGAAATAATGAAAAATAATGAAAATATCAAAATAATAATGAAAAATAATGGATTTTTTGTGGCCATTAAAAGGCATAATGGCCCCAATATCAGAGGGGGCCAAAGGCAAAACTTCAGCTCCCAGGATGATATTATTATTATTATTATTATTATTATTATTATTATTATTATTATTATTATCATCATTATTAGGCATGGCTGAATGATATATCAATGATATGGAAGATGAAGCCCTAATGGAGATTCCCTTTGCCGCCCTCTTGCGGACACAGGGATATTTGCACTTGCCTGGGGAGGCTGCTTTGCAATCCTTTGCTGCCATCCAGTGGCCAGAGAGGGAAGCGCGCCCTTGAGCCGTGGAGGCGCCTCTCTGCTGCCATCCTGTGGACAGAGTGGAAACCACACCTCAAATTATATTTCTCAAAATTATCACGGAAATAATGGGAAAACAATAGAAAAAATCAATAAAAATATTCCCCAAAATAATGGAAAAAAAACAAATAATAAAAAATTCTCCAAAATAATAACAGAAATAATGGAGAAAAGTCAAAATAATAATCAATATTTCCCAAAATAATGAAAAAAATAATGGAAAAAATCAAAATAATAAAAATATTCCCCAAAATAATCGACAAAAATAATGTACAAAATCAAAATAATAATAAGTATTCTCTGAAATAATCACAAAAATAATGGGGAAAAATCAAAATAATAGCTAAAAAATAGTGAATATTTTTGTGGTCATTATAAGGCATAATGGCCCCAATGTCAGAGGAGGCCAAAGGCAAAACTTCAGCTCCCTGGATATTATTATTAGTATTATTATGATTAATCGCCATGGCTGAATGATTGAGGAATGACAGGGTAGGTTATATAGCACCTCTGTGCTGTGCTGCCATCCAGTGGACAGAGTGGAAACTGTCCAGAGGTTGTGAGGTGTGTTGGAAATCTGGCTACCAGTATTAAAAAACTCTAAAATTACAACAGCACAACAACAGAGAGGAAACAAACAAGGACATCTAATCACCTCTCAACAAAAGATTGTTCCAGGCACTGTCAGGCCATTATATGCTAATCAAGGTGGTCAGTTGAAACATTCACACCTAGCTCCAGCAGACAAGAGTCCTTTGTCCCCCTGGTCATTCCACAGATATATAAACCCATTTTCCTACTTCCAACAGACCTCACTACCTCTGAGGATACTTGCCATAGATGCAGGCGAAACGTCAGGAGAGAATGCCTCTAGACCATGGCCATATAGCCCGGAAAACCTACAACAACCCAGAGTAGAAACTGCACCTCGATATTAGATTTCACAAACTAATCACCAAAATAATGGGAAAAATAGGAGCCCCCTGTGGCGCAATGGATTAAGTCCCTGTGCCGGTAGGACTAAAGCCTGACAGGTCACAGGATTGAGTCCAGTGAGATGAGCTCCCTATGTCAGCTCCGGCTTGGGAAAAAATGGGAAAAATTGTAAAAAAATCAAAATAATAAAAAAATTATCCTAAATAATGGCAAAAAATAATGTAAAAAATCAAAATAATAATAATAAATATTATCCAAAAGAATACAAAAATTAATGGAAAAGAAACCAAACTAATAATAATAATTAGGAAAAGGAAAGGGCCTGTGGATGTTAGGAATTCTGGGAGTTGAAGTCCAAAACACCTGGAGGGAAGGCCCAAGTTTGCCCATGCCTGAGCTAGCAGCACAAACACTAGTTACAGGCACCGCTGACCATTGGTGGGCACTGGCATTGTAGCCAGAGGTTTCTCCATTTGGCAGAACATGTATTTTATCCGCTAGCCATTGAATAAGGTGTTTGGATGTAGTCAAGGCCCTTTGTATTGATCCTACTTTGGAAGAGCCACCACAGCAGATGCTCCTCCGCTATCAACTCCGCTGGACCGAAGGCCACGTTGGCCGAATTCCCAAAGAGCACTGCCTCCCAAAGTAGTGACTCCACTTCCAGCGCAAGAACGGGAAACTGAATGTTGTGATTTAAAGATGGGCTTAAAGCCAACCTTAAAAATTGTGGCAGAGACACCGAGAGAGATCTGGGAAGCCTGGAGTGTTCTAAGTGGAGGTCAGCTGTGACTAGCAGTGCTGCGGAATTATAAGAAGCACGAATGGAGGGCAAAAGGGAGAAACGTGCCAAGAGGAAGGAGGTGCAGCAAGCCAACCCTTGTTGGGACTGCCTTCCACCTGGAAACCGATGTCCATCTGCATATGAGAGAACATGCAGATCAGCTTTTTGAATAGTTGCTTAGTGCATTGTCGAAGGCTTTCATGGCTGGAATCACTGGCTTGCTGTGAGTTTTCTGGGCTGCCTGGCCATGTTCCAAAAGCATTATCTCCTGACGTTTCAGAGGTTGTGGGGTCTGTTGGAAACTAGGAAAATGGGGTTTGAAACATTCACACCTTGTCTCCTGTGCTATTCTAATAATATATTGTATATACATATAATATTTATAATATTATAATGTAATGCAATATAATAATGTTAATATATTATAATTATATATTTATATTACATGTAATATTACTAATAATATTACGATATAGTGGTATGGTGCAATATAGCAATGTTTAATGCTGATATTGTACTATGCTAATAATATAATATATTGTATGTAATATATACCTTGTAAGCCACTCTGAGTCCCCTTCGGGGTGAGAAGGCTGGCATATAAATGTCGTAAATAAAAAATAAAAATAAATCTCAAGCAGACAAGAGTTCTTTCTCCCACCCTGGACTTTCCACAGATATACAAACCCTATTTTCCACATTCTAATCACGATGGCACAGCCCCCAATGCCACGTCTGTTTGTCCTTGCCTTTGTCACACTGTACCGCCTGCCAAAATAATAGTAATGATAATAGTAAGAGTCCTGCAATGACCCAAAGTGGCGCCTACGCAAAGAGAGGGACGAAACAGTGGAGCATCTTAGGAAACACCCCAGGCTGACAATATGGAATGTCACAGCAGTATGAAGCCAGACCTTGAAACTGCTAGGCCATTCAATGCTAATCAAGGTGGCCAATTGCAACATCCACACCTATCTCCAACAGACAAGAGTTCTTTCTTCCTCCCACCCTGGACATCATTCCACAGGTATATAAACCCCATTTTCCTAGTTCTCAACAGACCTCACAACCTCTGAGAATGCCTGCCATAGATGCAGACAAAACGTCAGGAGAGAATGCTTCTGGAACACGGCCAGGCAGCCTGGAAAACACTCAACAACCTAGTTGTTTAGTGGATGACCTGAGATGCTTTCCATTCTATTGATGGAGCCTCCTTCTTTGGAGGCTTTTAAGCATGAGCTGGATGGCCATCTGTCAGGGGTGCTTTGAATGCGATTTTCCTGCTTCTTGGCAGGATGGGGTTGGACTGGATGGCCCACCAGGTCTCTTCCAAGTCTAGGATTCTAGGATGACTCACTCCTTAAAGTAATTATCAGAAGGAAACGGCAAATTAAGGAAATGAAAGATGTTTTCGGATAGGGAAGTGCGATGGCTCTGTGGTTTATTTTTAATACCCCAGTTTGAGTTCTGAGTGCCCAGTGGAGGCTACATATCAATTCTGTACTTGTTGAAATAAAAAAAATAATGGGGGTGAAATCCCAGGAAAAATCCCGAAAGGGTTTCTATAGGAAGGTACAAAAGCAGTTTGAATGCTGCGGCCAGGGACGCCCCTGGCACTGCCTCTCGAGGAGGTCCATGGCTCAAAGGCAGCTTTTTCGCTTGGCGTGTGGGATTCATTTCATGGTGTAATTGTCCTCGCCGTCTTGCCCGTTCTGGGCGGCCTGGCTCTGGCCCGCGGGCCCCGGCGGGGTGGGCGTGTTGCTCTGCAGGAACCGCCGGAAGTCCTTGATGACGGGGCGGAGGACCTGGACGAGGGCGGTGAGGGCAGCCTGCGCACCCTCCATAGCCTGGGCCTGGCGCTCCTGGGCGCACGCCTGCACCTCCTGCGACCGCCGGATCACCTGCAGCAGGTCGTTCTGCTGCTCCAGGTGCTGCGCAATCTCCTTCACGTGCAGGTTGGTCACGCGCTGCTCCTGCAGGAGCTTGGCCGAGTTCAAGGCGATGCGGCTCTTCAGCTCCTGAGGCTTCGCGCAGGCCTCGCCCGGTGGGGCCACCATCTCCAGGGGCGCCTCGGCCGCCACCGTGACCGTGGCGGGGGCCTCGGTGGTGCAGTACCCCACCACGCCGTCCTCTAGGCTGTGATACTTCGCCTCTGCTGGAACTAGGGAAAATGGATGGCAGTTACTAGCATGTATTATTATTATTATTATTATTATTATTATTATTATTATTATTATTATTCAGTTCTTGTGGGGTTTTGGGGGCTATATGGCCATGTTCTAGAGGCATTTCTCCTGACGTTTCGCCTGCATCTATGGCAAGCATCCTCAGAGGTAGGAGGTCTGCTGGAACTGGGAAAAAGGGGTTTATATATCTGTGGAATGACCAGGGTGAGACCAAGGGCTTTTGTAAGTTGGGCTAGGTGTGAATCTTTCAACTGACCACCTTGATTAGCATACAATGGGCTGACTGTGCCTGGAGCAAACTCTTCTTGAAAGGTGATTAGATGTCCCTGCCTGTTTTTCTCTCTGCTGTTTTTGCTGTTTTAATTTTAGAATTTTTTAATACTGGTAGCCAGATTTTGTTCATTTTCATGGTTTCTTCCTTTCTGTTGAAATTAAACATGTGGACAATTTCAACAGAAAGGAAGAAACCATGAAAATGAACAAAATCTGGCTACCAGTATTAAAAAATTCCAAAATTGCAACAGCAAAAACAGCAGAGAGAAAAACAGGCAGGGACATCTAATCACCTTTCAAGAAGAGTTTGCTCCAGGCACAGTCAGCCCATTGTATGCTAATCAAGGTGGTCAGTTGGAAAGATTCACACCTAGCCCACTTACAAAAGCCTTTTGTCTCACCCTGGTCATTCCACAGATATATAAACCCCCTTTTTTCCCAGCTCCAGCAGACCTCACCTCTGAGGAAGCTTGCCATAGATGCAGGCGAAACGTCAGGAGAAATGCCTCTAGAACATGGCCATATAGCCCAAAAACCTACAACAACTCAGTGATTCTGGCCATGAAAGCCTTCGACAATACATTATTATTATTATTATTATTATTATTTATTATTTATTGTTCTTATACCCCGCTACCATCTCCCGCAGGACTCGGTGCGGCTTACAAGAAGCCAAGCCCAACAACATCATGAAAACAACAACAACAACAAAACAATAAATAACTCATAAAAAGCAAAAACAATACAATAATAACACAATACATTTTAAAAACATGAGGCAGGCCCAATGTAAAAGTTTTAAAGTATTGCCCACTTGACCGTGCTACCTGCCATGTGCTACAGTGCATGCAGAGACATGGACAATTTTATTGATTTCGTATCAAAAGCATTGCATAAATTAGTATAAAACTGATAAAAATAGAAGGTGTGCAGGCGGCTAACTATCTTTTGACCAAAAAACGAGCAACAGCAACGGCACTGTCTGTAGCCTCCAACAATTCCTCCTCTGTACATGAGGCATGGCACAGTGGACAAACATTCAGATGCGGAGTTGTCTGTTCTGCTCCACAATCACACAAGGGGTGGGATTCTTTTAGGTAGACATGGACATCCTGACTGAATCATCCTGGCTGAATCAATTCTCTCTCTGTGACATTTTGAAGCCAGCACAAGGCGCTGGAAACCTTGTGTTGGAACTTGTGAAGCAACAAGTTCTAATAAGGAAACTGAGAAGCGGGGGAGATGGGCAGGAAAGGTGTATAAAAGGAAGTGGTGGTGGGAAAAAGTCAGTAGTGTCTTTCTTTGCTGCAGAGATACAACAATATATCCATTTCAAAGCAAAACCGGCTTGTGAGTGGTTATTTAATATTGCTATATAGATCCTACAGTCTGACACAAAGGCTCTCTCGGAACAACTACGGGCTGTGCATGCCTCCCTCGAGAGACGGCTCGATGTGGACTGCGCAACGAGGATGTTCGAACAATATCAACAGCCAAAGATCCTCTATGCCACATTGCCCACCTCAAGCAGCACTTTGCAGCCCACGTGATGCGCAGAACAGACGGGTGATGGAGCAGTGCCACAGCAACATGGTATCCACAGGGAAAATACAGATTATCTGCTTTGAACGGCATTAAATGAGTCCACACTGCCATATAATCCGGTTCAAAGCAGATAATCTGGATTTTATATGACAATGTAGAAGGATCCTAGGTCCTAGTATTCTTGGTTATCCTCCCACCTGATGGTCACATCAAATGAGTCCACACTGCCATATAACCCAGTTCAAAGCAGATAATCTGGATTTTATATGGTAATGTAGAAGGAGCCTAGGTCCTAGTATGATTCTTGGTTATCCTCCCACCTGATGGTCTGACTCCGCATGACGTATATGCAAGAGAGGAACATGGCCATGCAATGATACAGTGGTCAACTCGTGCTCAAAATAGACACGAATGGAGGCAAATACAGAAGATGTGATCTGTGCCAAAGCTGAGGAATGGCTCGCTAAGGCAATGGTTCTCAACCTGTGGGGCTCTCCCCAGGTGTTTTGGCCTCCAACTCCCAGAAATCCCAGCCAGTTTACCAGCTGTTAGGATTTCTGGGAGTTGAAGGCCAAAAACACCTGGGGAGATACCCACAGGTTGAAAACCACTGGTCTAAGCCATACCCAGTGTTGCCCGGTTATGCATTTTCTTGGTAGCGCTTTCACTCTTTTCTCCGTTTCCATCATATATGTAACTTTCCCTTTCCCCCCCCCCCCTTTCTCTTTGCTTCTTTCATCTCCTTCCCTCCTTCCCTTCCTTACTTCCGTCTTAACCGTGTTGTACCCCACTTTAAGCCATGAGGAAAGACAGCTAACAAATATAATTCCCACCACCGTGAGACCTACTCTGCGTCAGGGTGACCGTCGTGGCTGCAGCCGTGATTGGGATTTCCGTCCCATCGGCAGCGGTACAGTCTCCAGCAGGGAGGCTGATGATGGTGGCTTCTCCCAAGAGGTTGCAGATGCGCTGCTGCATGGAAGTGAGGATGACCGGGGTGGCGGCGGCACTGGCGGGGTCTTCCACAACCGGCCCCTCCACGCTTCCGCCCTGGCCCTCGCCCCCTCCTCCTCCTTCCACGGCGGCTCGGACCTGGGCCACCTTGCGCCGCACCTCCGTCTTGAGGTCGGACCACTTCTTCTTGACTTCGGGCAGCTCCCGGCGGCAGGTGGCCACGGCGTTCACGCGGCGCAGGATGTTGTGCCAGGCGGCGGCCTTGGCGGCCAGAGACACGCCGGCGTTGTAGTGGTTGATCAGGAGGTGCTTGCTCCGCTCCAGCTCCTCCACGATGATCTCCACCTCCCGCTCCGAGAAGTTCATCTTCCGCTTCTTGGCCGGCGGTCCCGGAGGAGACGGCATGGCCATTGGGCGCCGGCCACCCAGGTCCGGCTGGGTGTGGCGAGCTCCGGGCCAAGCCCAGTGGTGGAGCAGGACAGCGGGAGGCAGGCTGGGGCACAAAGCAAGGACCTGTGGGGAAGAGACATGGGCAGTGAGGCTTTCCTTATCGTGTCAAGCATCTCCCAGAAAACGAAAAATTGGAAGGGCGCATTTGTACACTTCTGACGTAAACGTAAACGAGGCTGTAAAGCGGGCGTCGGCCAATATTGGGCCTCCTCCCTCCCTCCAGGTGCTTTGGATTTCCACAATTCCCAACCGCAGGTAATAATAATGAGAATATATAATAATATATTAAAAAGTAATAGAATAATAATAGAAAAAGACAAAATGTCTCCAAAGCAGGCCTGGGCCAACTTCAGCCCTCCCTCCAAGTGTTTTGGACTGCAACTCCCACAATTCCTAACAGTCGGTAATAGTAATAATAATAAATTATATTATAATAATAGTGTAGTTATATTGTAATATATAATTATTATTGACACAAAAATACAGTATGACACAGCAAATGAGATCTATATATGCAGGATTTCGCATCCCAAAATCACAAGTCAAACATTTTCCAAGCGTTTAGGACTGTGTGATGTATTTTTGAATGATGTGCACAGATCCATGTGTTACTGTTTTTATTTTATTGTATTACTTTGTAATTATTTAGTATTTTATTTGAAGTTACTGTCTGTTGTGTGTATTTTATTTTTGCCTTATTGTAATCCTTGGGCTTGGCCTCAAGTTAGCCGCCCTGAGTCTCTTCAGGGAGATGGTGGCGGGGTATAAATAAAGTTGTTTATTATTATTATCTCTCCTGTAGGAGATTCAAGAGACTATTATCATTATTATTATCTCTCCTGTAGGAGATTCAAGAGATTATTATTATTATTATTATCTCTCCCGAAGGAGGTTTAAGAGATTATGATTATTATTATTATCATCATCATCATCTTTCCCAAAGGAGATTCAAGAGATTATTATTATTATTATTATTATTATTATTATTATCATCTTTCCCAAAGGAAATTCAAGAGATTATTATTATTATTATTATTATCTTTCCCAAAGGAAATTCAAGAGATTATTATCTCTCCCGAAGGAGATTCAAGAGACTATTATTATTATCATCATCTCTCCTGAAGGAGATTTAAGAGACTATAATAATAATGTTGTTGTTGTTGTTGTTGTTATTATTATTATTTGGAACACAACAGGATGAGTCCACAGCAGACAAATCACTCTTCTTATTGTATTATTATTATTATTATTATTATTATTATTCTCTCTCCAAAAGGAGATTCAAGAGACTATTATTATTATCATCATCATTATTATTATCTCTCCCAAAGGAGATTCAAGAGATGATGATGATTATTATGATTCTCTCTCCCGAAGGAGATTCAAGACTATTATTATTATCATTATCATTATTATTATCTCTCCTGAAGGAGATTCAAGAGACTATTATCATTATCATTATTATTATCTCTCCTGAAGGAGATTCAAGAGACTATTATCATTATCATTATTATCATTATCATCTCTCCCGAAAGAGATTCAAGAGACTATTATTATTATTATTATTATTATCATCATCATCATCTTTCCTGAAGGAGATTCAAGAGACTATTATCATTATTATTATCTCTCCCAAAGGAGATTAAAGAGACTATTATTATTATTATTATTATTATTACTATTATCTCTCCCAAATGAGATTCAAAAGACTATTATTATTATTATTATTCCCCTGCTTAAAATACAAGCCTACAATTACTATTATTATTGTTCTATTTATTATTAACATATTTATTTATACCCCAGTTTATCTCTCCCAAAACAAGACTCAAAGCTGCCATCTATTATTATTATTATTATTATTATTACTATTATTATTATTATTATTATTATTTACTATTATTATTATTATTATTATTATTATTACTATTATTATTATGTGTATTTATACCTCCCTTTCTCTCAAACCCAAAGGAGACTCAAGGCAGCTGAAAATAGAGGCCTTTGGGTATGATTTAAAATAGATACAATTGTTGTTGTTGTTGTTGTTGTCCCTTAGATGAACATGATTACAGTATCTTCTCCTTCCTCCTCGCCCGCCCTCCGCTCCCCCTTCAGACCCAGAAAGATACGCAAACTGCGTACCGCGCCTCCTCGGCGTCGCCAGCACCACAGCGGGCCTCCACTTTGCGGCAGTGGCGTAATGGCTTCCAGAATCGGCCCGCTCGTGTCCGGCGCTTTCATTGGGCCAGCCTTCTGCCTGTCAGCGGCCCCGGCGCCCGCCCTCCTCCGCTATTGGTTCGCTTCCTGTTTACGAAGCCCTTCGTCAGAAGGAAGCCGCGCTAACAGTGGCTGAGACGAACGCCCAACTGTATCGTCATCCTCCCTCTCCCCGGATTCCCTATTTCTGATTGGGTGGCGGTCTTGTCCGTCCAGCCTTCCTCTTCGGGACTCGCCTATCACAATCGAGCTCCGCCTCCTTCCTCGGCTTGCCTTGCGCTGATTGGATTTCCACTAGCCAATAGCGAATGTGCTCCGTTTTCCGCAATCGTCACACCCACCCTTTTTTCTCTCCCTCTTCCCTTTCTCTCATTGGCGCTTAGAATCAAAGCTGGATGAGTGCGCATGCGTACCAAGTGAAGCAGCTGAGCGTGTTTCAAACCATTACGTCATCACTATCCTCCCGCACTCTTGACTGAGAATTTGACTTTCGCTTCTGATTGGTTTAGAAGCGGACGCCAGTCAGGAGCGTGCTGCCTTCCCATTGGGCGTCACGGGGAGGGGGCGGGAGAGGGAGCCGTTACGTCATCACTATCCTCCCGCCCTCTAGCCTGAGAATTTGACTTTCGCTTCTGATTGGTTTAGAAGCGGACGCCAGTCAGGAGCGTGCTGCCTTCCCATTGGGCGTCACGGGGGGGCGGGAGAGGGAGCCGTTACGTCATCACTATCCTCCCGCCCTCTAGCCTGAGAATTTGACTTTCGCTTCTGATTGGTTTAGAAGCGGACGCCAGTCAGGAGCGTACTGCCTTCCCATTGGGCGTCACGGGGAGGCGGGAGAGGGAGCCGTTACGTCATCACTATCCTCCCGCCCTCTAGCCTGAGAATTTGACTTTCGCTTCTGATTGGTTTAGAAGCGGACGCCAGTCAGGAGCGTACTGCCTTCCCATTGGGCGTCACGGGGAGGCGGGAGAGGGAGCCGTTACGTCATCACTATCCTCCCGCCCTCTAGCCTGAGAATTTGACTTTCGCTTCTGATTGATTTAAAAGCGGACGCCAGTCAGGAGCGTACTGTCTTCCCATTGGGCGTCACGGGGAGGCGGGAGAGGAAGGCGGTTCGGCCTATGGGAACAGGGGAGGAGGGGAGAGGCGGGCCAATCAGGGAGGGGCGCGAGGGGCCCGGAAGCGGAAAGGCGGGCGGCGCCATTTGCCGGCGCCTGAGGAGTCTGGAGGGAGGGCATGCCTGTTGGCGGCGGCGCGCGGCGGTCCCTGGCTTCCCCCGTGGTCAGCGGCGTCCTCTGCCACTGCGGCGGCGCGGCCTCCACCACGGCGGCCTCCGAGGGCCCGGCTCCCTCCTCCTCCGCCTCGGCCTCTCCTCCTTCTCCTCCTGCCTCCGCCCTGGACCCCGAGCGCCGCCTCCGGGCCCTCTTCCTCCAGCTCGACGTCAACCGCGACGGCGCCCTCTGCGTCCACGACCTGGCCGTCGGCCTCCAGCGCCTCGGCCTCCACCGCTCCGAGGGAGACCTCCGGGTGAGTCCCCCTCCCTTCCTCCCTCTCCAGGTGTTTTGGACGCCAACTCCCACCATTCCTAACAGCCGGTAGGCTGTTAGGAATGGTGGGAGTTGGAGTCCAAAACACCTGGAGGGAGGGCCCAAGCTGGCCCATGCCCACCCTAGATTGAAAGAAGTCATAGTCCCACGCTCCAATATGCTGATGATAACATAGTCTGTGCACATTCAGAAGAAGACCAACATCTATTCTAGAACTCTGTTAGGAATGGTGGGAGTTGGAGTCCAAAACACCTGGAGGGAGGGCCCAAGCTGGCCCATGCCCAGCCTAGATTGAAAGAAGTCATAGTCCCACACTCCAATATGCTGATGATAACATAGTCTGTGCACATTCAGAAGAAGACCAACATCTATTATAGAACTCTGTTAGGAATGGTGGGAGTTGGAGTCCAAAACACCTGGAGGGAGGGCCCAAGGGTCCAAGCCTGATCTAGAGTCAGAGAGATGGATAGGGATAGAGATTGAAATAGATCTCTCTCTCTATATATATATATAAACAAAAATGTCATGTTTGTTTGTGGGATTAACAGAACTCAAAAACCACTGAATTGAGACCAAATTTGAACACAAGACACCTAACAACCCAATGTATGTCCTTCACTCAAAAAAAAAAAAACACAGCAGAAAGGACTTTTAAAGTCCCCAAAATGATGAAAAGCTAAATGACAATACAGAAAAAGGGAGGAAAGGGGAGAAAAGAAATAAAGGAAGAAAGGAGAGAAAGAGGGAGGGAAAGAATAAGAGGGAAGGAAGGAAAGTTAGAGCAGGAAGGAAGAAGAGAGGGAAAGAGAAAAGGTAAAGAAGGAAGGAAAGAGGGAGCGAAGGAAGGGGGGGAAGATGTAGAGGAAGAGGGAGGGAAGGAAAGAGAAGGAAGAAAAGAGAGACAGCAGAAGAGAAAGAAAAGGGGGGAAGGAAAGACAGGAAGGAGGGAAAGAAGGAGAGAAAGAGGGAAGGTTGGCCACAGCAACGCGTGGGGGGTACAGCTAGTATATATAAATAAAAATGTAATGTTCGTTTGTAGGATTAACATAACTCAAAAACCACTGGACAAATTGACACCAAATTTGGACACAAGACACCTCTCAGGCCAATGAGAGACCATCACTCATCAAAACACTGGAAAACACAGCAGAAGAGACTTAAAAAGCAAAAAAAACAAAATAAAAATTACAACACATGCACAAAACCACATATATACACACAAACGCACATACACACACACACATATATATACACACATACACAGAAAACACATATACACAGACTGGGCCACAGCAATGCATGGCAGGGATGGCGGCTCAACCCATTACGCAAAGTAAGCATTTGCAGTATAGTTGATTTTGCCAGGGGCGCTCTTGGGGGAAAATAGACCTTGACATATGCGAGTTGTAGTTACTGGGATGTATAGTTCACCTACAATCAAAGAGCATTCTGAACTCCACCAATGATGGAATTGAACCAAATATGGCACACAGAACTCCCACGACAAACAGAAAATATATATCAGTGATTGGTTGGGGTGGGGGGGGGGCACCAAAATACTGTTTGCTTACCGTTGAAAATTACCTAGGGCCGCCTCTGGGGATGACTAGTCTATATAAATAAAAATGTGATGTTCGTTTGTGGGATTAACATAACTCAAAAACCACTGGGTGAATTGACACCAAATTTGGACACAAGACACCAATCAGGCCATTGAGAGACCATCACTCATAAAAACACTGAAAAACACAGTGGAAGGGACTTAAAAAGCCAAGAAATAGAAAAATACATTACAATGCATATGCAAAACCACATATATATACACACAAACGCATATATGTACACACAAAACATATACACAGACTGGACCACAGCAACACGTGGCAGGGGACAGCTAGTCTATATAAATAAAAATTAAAAAAAAAAAAAAAAAAAAAAAAAAAAAAAAAAAAAAAAAAAAAAAAAAAAAAAAAAAAAAAAAAAAAAAAAAAAAAAAAAAAAAAAAAAAAAAAACAAATCTATATAAATAAAAATGTAATGTTCATTTGTGGGATTAGCATAACTCAAAAACCACTGGACAAATTGACACCAAATTTGGACACAAGACACCTATCAGACCAACAAGTGACCGTCATTCATAAAACACTGAAAAGCACAGCGGAAGGGACTTAAAAAGCAAAAGAATAAAAATAAATAATACATTACAGCACATGCACAAAACCACACACAACACACACACATATATATGCAAACACAGATATATGCAAATATATACACATATATATGTACACACAAAACACATATACACAGACTGGGCCACAGCAACATGTGGCAGGGGACGGCTAGTAGCTATATAGATAAGTTGTCAAAGGCTTTCATGGCTGGGTTGCTGTAAGTTTTCTTGGCTGCCTGGCCATGTTCCAGAAGCATTCTCTCCTGATGTTTCACCCACATCTATGGCAGGCATCCTCAGAGGTTATGAAGTCTATTGGAAAATAGGCAAGTGGGGTTTACATATATCCCTGTGGAATGATGTCCAGGGTGGGAGAAAAACCCTTTGTCAGACCTCACAATCCGGAGGTCTGACATAGATGCAGGCAAAACATCAGGAGAGAATGCTTCTAGAACATGGCCATATAGCCTGAAAAATCTACAACAACCCAACCCTTTGTTTGTTTGAGGCAAGTGTGAATGTTGCCTTTGCCCAGCTTCATTAGCATTGAATGGCCTTGTAGCTTCAAAGCCTGGCTGATTTCTTCCTGGGGGAAACCAAGAAAATGTACAAAAATCTGGCTACTAGTATTAAAAACTCTAAAATCAGACAGTAAATAAAGAGCAACATTTAAAAAGGAGGAATTTCACACAATAATCAATCAGGGCCAGCTAACGCCTCCCAAGAAAGTCCCCCCCCCCCCCCATTGCAACATTCACACAGATGAGTTCTTTCTCCCACCTCATTCAAGTATTAAATGGTAAGTCAAAACATAGTTGAATTGTACTGACTATCACGCAGAATTCAGGCCAAAGTGCTTGTATTTGTCACATTATTGCTTCCATGATAGTAGTAGTAGTAGTAGTAGTAGTAGTAGTAGTAATTCACTTGGATAGATCTCTCATCACTGGGACTTGTTCACTCCCACAACATCATATCATTAATATTTATTACTGAGTCTAGCAAGAGCCGGAAAGGGTTCCTGATGGCCCAGGTTCTTTTGCTCATAAGATTGCCAGAAAACAACTTTAGCTTGATGGCAGTGCGCAAGTGAACAAACATCGTTCTAAAACACTTGGGTAAGAAAACAGTTAAAATCACTACCAAGTAGTTTTAAAAATGGATGAAATAAAATCTGTCCTATTTGGCTCGGCCCCATCACTTAATGCAGTCCTTTGCCTCCTTACTACATACAAAAATTCGGGCTGGATTGTAGAGGTCAAGCTCTTTAGCTTATGACATGCCTGTCCTTTATGCCAGTCTTCCCTTCCCACC